AATCCTCGTCGTCCCGAGTTTATCGATAAACGTGTACGCGAACGTGTAGGGAGGCCAGTAAATGACGAACGACGTTGCCGAACGCCGTGATTTTCGCTTCCCTGTAAAATGGCCTGTCCCTTCGCGTCAATCCCGATACGTTCGTCATTTTTCTTCCCGAGATGCGCCCCCGCGCCAAACATTAAACCAGCGATGCATTTGTCAAAATAATATTAGATAGTATGTTTGCGTTTTCCGACGCGTCGTGGAAAACGTCGAATACGAATCGAGGGTTCGGTTTCGGTTTGCACCCGGGATAAAACGGTGGAAGCGATTCAATCAGCGCCGGGTGGCTGAGACCATCTGAGACTTCCTTTCCCTTTCTCTTTATCCTCGATCGTTTCCCGGCGAACCCGGATGATTTACGGCACGGGGACAGAATGCAATGTATGTAAGTTAAACGGTAAGTTCTGCGCGTGTTCCCTCCCCTCCCCCCCTGATTCGCAATGCATTTCACGAAACGACAGGTCTAATGCTTTACCTCCGTGGGAACCCGAGACGAGTTTCGTTACAGGCGAGCATACGTGAGATTGCTTTCGATCCCGCCCCGGCTTTTACGCGAACGATCATTCTCTCGTTATAACGAATTCGTCGAATTCGAACTGTGGCGAATTCGAGAAAGGTGTCGGATCTGCTGCTACTGCGAGTCTGGCGAAAAATCGTGACGAAGGGCGAGCGAGGGAGAAACGGGAGAGGAGCCGATGAATACGTGAACGGGATTTTTTCGCGAATCGATTATGGCAATTCAATCAAGGGGAACGCGGCGGGGACAGAGAGTGGGGTTGGGGGAGAGGGTACCGGGGCGATGCGGTTTATCCCAGACTTCCATCTGAGCCTTCTCGGATGTTCTCCATCCATCCTGCCGGGATCCTCCGGTGTTTTCTTTCCGTTTCCGGGTAAACGAATAACCGAGGGAAAATTGCATACGATTCGAATATAGAAAAGTGTTAAACAATTCATCCGGTTTCGAGTTCGGAACCAGGGAACGGTTTTCGTCCACTCAATCACGGTTCCAATTATTTTTAATCAATTCCTTTCGGGCCTCACCGAGTGGAAAAGGGTGGACATAACGCGGCGGAGGAACGACCCGGTGTACGCATTCTTCGTCGCGATGGGCGTGGTGGCATCGCGTGCCCGCGTCTTTTTTTCAAGTTTTTAATTCCAGACAGGCGTGGGCACGCGGCGTATCTGCGACAGATATGCGACCTTACTAACGGCGTCCGACGTTTAAAGCGCTTCGCGCCATAATTTCCTTGATTAAGCCGAGATACGTGGCGAGTTGCCAAGGAGGGGCGGCGCGGGGCCCCGGGTCGTCCGCCCGGCGTCGTAAATAACATCGCGAATTAAGCGTGTAATTTCCGTGCGAATTACGAGGCGGGCGCGACCCTCCGTGTTCCTCGATACTTTCGTCGTTATAAAAAGGAGCGAAGAGAGCGGAATGAAAAACGAAGGAGTTTTCTACAATGGGGAGAAATTTATGATCGCGGCTACGCGAGAGGCTCTGACGGAATCCGTCAAACATCCGTCCGGCACGGGCGACGGGACGTGGAGATCGATCGATACGCAGATGGGTTGCAATCCGATTACGTCCGGAACATTTTTATAGCCCCTCCTCGCGTTTTAATCGCGTTCACCCCCTTGACCCGTTCTCGCTCTGTCAACTGAAGAATCAGATTTCGCCGTTCCGTTCCGACACTCCATTTTTTTTTTTTTTCAATGCTGCCCGACGTAATAAAATATGACATCGCGATTCGTGATACGGTCTACTCTATCTGTGGAACATTCCTCTGTTTTAAGCTTGTATTACGGGTGTTATCGATTTTTTTGTAAAGCACCCGATATCGCAGGTGATAGTTGATTATAGCCGTTTCGTTGAAGATTGAGAACGCACCGGTACGCATCTGTTCCTCGTGATTGATGCGTAGATTGCGTTTGTGCGACGCGCACCTGTGTCACCCAGGGTCCCGTGCTTCGTTTTCGGAGCCTCGAAACTTGATGACAGAAATGACCAATTTTTCCACCCTCGTATAAGGGAGAACTGTCACATTTAAATGCAAGGAAACTTGAATACAAAAATAATCCTAAGCTTACGTAGCAAATTGTTTTATTAGTGACTGTACTTATAAATAAAACACACTTTCTATTTGATCTGATTAAAAGAAACGTTTTAGGGATTAACTATGAGACAGTGATAATTACAATACGTTTTCCAATAAAAATAATAAAATCGATAGATATAAAATAATTTCGTGTGCTACTTCGTATTGATTTTCCTCTGAATTTTTCTATAATGTTCCACGTAAAAGTGAGTAATACAGTTGCTGGCTGAAGGATTTAATTACGTAGACTTTGTAGAAAGGAAATTTGACGTGTCGCGAGTACATTTCCCCGATGATGCTGTTGACTCTGGCGTCTGGCTGTTGCTAAGTAGATCCCAAGTTTCCTGCCCGGAAGGTAGGAACTTGCCGTTTAAATATTTGACCGAGTAAAATAAGTTTCGACGATCGACGCTCGACGGTCAACCAGGAATCGTCGCCGGTTCGCTTTAATCCGCGCGGGTTCCAACGTGGAATATCCACGGTTCGTTGACGCGGCACGGCGATTCCGATGGCCGCACGCGTCGTTGAGCGTGGCCGAAAAATCGACGGCTAGAAATAAAAAAAAGAAAAAAAATGTGTTAAAAACAAAAAAACGGTTCAAAACGCTGGTACTAGTTTAGGATCGTGAAATCGTTGCTAGAGGCACAGCGACGCGAGGGCATAATTAAAACGGACGTTAAATTCAAAATGTGATTCGAGTGCTTGCGATATAAAATCTCGTCGCTGATTGGACGATTTGAAAACTGCTAACTTTTACGGGCACTTGATGATTCAGTTTCCTTTAAAATCAATTGTCAAAACTGCACTGTTCCCGCCGTCATTTTATCACGGAAACGAACTGTAAATTTTTTGTGACACGACTGGAAAAACGCAGCCGCGTGCCCGGTAACGAACTTTTTACACCAGCGCGTCGCAGGTCGCGTTTAAAAAGTCATACGGTCGCACGCGGTATCATCTTCTCGCGAGACTATTAGCCTCGGTCCATGAAGAGAACCGGCAAACGGCGCGGATTATATTCGTGGCGCGCGTAATGCGGCCGGAAGTCGCGGTGGCCTGGCACAACACGCGGCAGCACGGTTGATAACCGGTCCGTGTCCGACCCCCGCGTTCGCGGCTCTTTCTATTTTTTATGACGCCCCCGCGGGGCGCGCGAATGCTTGCATGCGTACACCGCAATCGTTCTCTCTCCTGCGAGAGAGGGACGAAGAGGGAATGAGAGAACGAGAGAGAGAGACCAGGGCTCTCTCGTTGGTATTTCCAATTTCACAGAGCGTGGGTTAACGAGGCCCGAGGGCTGGGGAAGTTAGGGCGACCGAGCCCCTGGAACCTCCTCCCCGCCCCGAAACCGAGTCCTACGGTCCCACCGTGTTACACACCTCTTCCTTCCATCCTCCCGTTCCACCCCTTTTATACGACCCCGCGCATCGGGGTGGGTTCCGGCACATTACCTTCGCTGATTACCGGGCTGCCCCGCGGAGTATGTCACCCAGTCACCCTCGAGACGCATACCTTCCGGAATCCGGCGACCCTTTTCCTGCTGCCGCCTCTTCCTAGCCAGATAGGCATCGCCGGGAAACGTTCGAGACGAACGAACGGCCCTGCACGGCTTCTCGCTTTCCTCTCTCCCGAGATTTAAGCGGTTCCCTCTCGGTTTCACGGTGCGTGCTCGCCTGCCGAATTCCGCGCCTTGAAAAGTTTATTAGACACGCGAGGCAACGTTACGGTACATCTTCAATCTTCGGAAAAAAGATTTCTTTCAATCCTTGCACGATAAATGTACGCCAGATGAATCAATGGAAACTAATAGTTCATTATTCAACTTCTTATTTTTACTGGATTTTTTTATTTAACATAAGACGTCACTGAGTGGATGCGTCCAATGCAAATGCAGATTTTTCAATGCTCTTTAATAATGTCAATAAATAGGAGATGATGTTTTATGGTACTTCGCATTGATTCGTCTCTCGGTTGAAAGATCGTATCTCTTAAGGATATATTTTGGCTATACAGTCAATCCC